CCTCCCGCAAAACGTGTGAAATGCCCAAAAACCACCTAAATAAAAACCTCTTGAAAACACACCTGCCCCCATGCTCCCCGCTGCGTTTGGGCAAATACGGCCCACGCCCAGGGCTAGCAGCATTCGCCACTGAAAAACGTAAAATAAAGCCATTTTTTTTTTCCTCAGAAACTCCAAGGTCTTGGGGAGGCGGCTCTGGCGATGGCCCCGTGTTTCCCAGTACCGTTTCATTTTCCCCTCATTTTCCAGCCAGCTGAACAACAATAAACAGTGTCATTTTGATATGATGTATTTATATTTACATGGTACATTTTAAAGCAATAGCTACACTGATCATACATATTAGAAACAATAAAAAAAGAAGTTAAGAACTAAAATGTACATCATACACTTGTATATATATTTTTGTTTTTTTTTACACAGAGGTAAAAAGGCTTATAAAAATCAATACAACAGGGTTTTAACTTTTAGTATATAGATACAATAATGATGAGGCTTCAGGCACTTTAATTTGTTAACGTGAGCGATAGCTTGGAAAACAAACAAACAAACAAAAAAAACTTTCCACAACAGAAAAAAAAAATTTGGTTAATGTTTTGTTACCACAGATACAAAAATAAAATCTGAATAATTTCTCTCAAATGATTGATGTCAGTATTGCAAAGCTGACTGGGAGAACGCTACACACTGTTCAGCGGCAGTGTGGAAATTAAGGAGAAATATTTACAAAAAAACACCCATTTCTATCATTGTGCCCTTACACCACTGCCTTCACAAACCAAATAACACACGCAGCAAAATCTACAAGTATTACAGAAACCCAAAAGAAGAGGGAGGAAGGAAAAGGGGAAGATAAAAATATTAAAAAAAGAGGGATTTTTTTCTTTTTTAAACTTTTATTTCCAGACATATAGAAAGGCTTGGAGTATGTCTACTTTACTTAAATAAATAGGGGCACTTCAAGACCGGACAAAAAGCTGTAAGATCTTTTTGTAGTGTTGTGCTTTATAGAGAGAAGATCTTACAGATGTTTGTTTACATGAAACAACTTTGAGAACAGAAATAAAAGGAAAAGGTTGTTCCACTGATTTTTTTTTTTCTTTTTTTGAGGCTGGCTTGATGTTTACTAGACACCATTGAGAGATTTGTCAACTGCTATTAGGCACAAAATATTTATGTTTCATTCAGCAAACCCAGACACATCACCCAGAGTGTAACACTCCATCCCTTTTCCATTATCATTCTTTTTTTTTTCCCAACCGAAAAAATCCCCAACAACTGCTACGAATTAAGCCTACCAAATTCTACAGTGTATAAGCACGTTGCATACTTAATTCACGGTTGACTAAAAAGCTGTGATTAACTCTTAGAGGAACCGTTGGGACATTCCACCAAGAAAGAATGGCAAGCATTCCTTTTACATTTATTTGGCAAATTAATTCATTTAAAAAAAAAAATTCCTCTCTTTTAAGACTGATGTCAATGTGCAATAGAGGGAGGGAAAGGACATGCGCCCACTGGCAATTTACTGCAGAAAGAAATTATGGCAGGAACAGCAGTGCCAGCTTTGACAAGCCAATCCCTAGCTGCCTCAAAGTATTCAGATTGTACTATGCTAGTTAGAGCTCACTGCGCTAAATCTTTTTTTTTTTTTTTAATAAAAATTATTTGGCTATTCCTTGTAATATATTAGAAAAATACTCTTTTTCCAAGCTAATTACAAGCCTTGTACACAAGACAACATGACATTAAAAAAAATTAAAAAAAAAAAAAAATTAAGTAATCTTATCCTGTTGTATGCACCTTATGCATCCACTTGAAAAATCTGGGTGGTGAACTGGGGAAGGGAAAGCCAGGGAGGCGCTTCGGTCTGGCTCCTGCAAAGACTCGCATGCTTAATCCTACGCATAGACTTACAGAAATGCCGGCTGCACGCACAATACATCGAGACGTGTAAGCATCTGGAGGATTGGGACCGCAGGTCAGGAAATGGAAGTGGTGATTAATATCCTGGCTTTTGATTTTAAATACCTGTTTAGACTGCTTCTACCGTGGATGCGTATGTTCTCATGCTCATGTATTATACAGAAAACAAACAAACAAATACGATTTTTCCATATAATCCACCACTTAATGCAGCATTTCCCCAGAATTGCCATAATAGTGCTTTTGACATTGCATTGTTAGTAATTCTTTGCATAACAACAATTTTCCTCATCTGGAACCTTAGTGTTTTATTCACAGATCATTACATGGCTGGTTAATGAAGAAGTTCCCTTTCTTTTGGGCAGAACTCTGAAAACACAGTTTTATTTTTCCAATGTTATTTAGGGAAAAAAGAAAACCCTAAAATTTAAGTTTCCCTTTCAAGTAGTGGTCTGAAATGATTACAGGTAAGGAGAACTACCAGATTCTCAATGGTTATGTGACTATGGTAACCGAGTCTTGCTTTCTGTTCACAGAACTTTATGAACAGAGAAATAGTTTAAGATGTTTGCTGAAGGAAATGACAATGGACTCTAGAAGAGAAACTGCAGCTTAGATGGCTATTTTGGCTTTGGAAAATGGAACAAAATACCCAAAGAAAACCAGTGATAGAAATACTGTGTTGTGGTACAAGTTTGTTACTAGCACACCTTCTATACACACACAATAACTTGACAGCAAGTTAAAATATCTTTCAAGTTGAGATTTCATTCACTACACCCCGTTTCTAGAAATGCCAAAGCTTGCTAATGCGCTGATGGTACCGCACAAGCGGAGGCAAGACGGACACAACCTGGAGATGTTCTACAATCCACCACCATTTAAAGCATTTCTTTTCTCAATCTCGTTTTAACTGGAAAAAAAAAAATTAATATAAACATGTACAAGACAGTCTGTTTTGATTACATATTAATAATACAAAAGTCTATGCTGCAGGTTAGTTAGTTAGAACACTTGATGAGCAAATCAATGCAGTGTGAGCCCCAGACGACCGAATGTGAAGTGATCCGAACTGGTGGTTTCTGGATGCTGTTGGGCACAGTGGCTGCATCAAAATGAGTGATCTCAATGCTCCAAAACCAACGTGTTCCTTCAACTACAGGAAAAACATAACACTTCGAATGCATCTGTAGTCATCCAGCAGCTTTGTGTTTTCCACCACAGCACCTGCACATGACCCCACAGTGGTAACAAGCCCGAAGCGGCAAGTAACAGCACATACATGGAGCAATGAAAGACAAGGCGATAAGGGCCATCCACCGGAGGCAAAACATTTCATCACTGGTGTCACACGAGCAAGGATCTGTATAGTCTCCTTCTGGATCGGACATACAGTGATAGAGCATAGTGTCTGCACACCACATACAGCTCACTCGATGGATGCAAGTCTTGACACGGTCTGGAGCATCCTGGCATTGACCCCGTTTGTTCTCCTCGTGGTTGAACATGTCCCTGCAGTACACGCACCGTGACCTCTCACCATCTTCCTTCCGCCTGGGCTTGAATTTGACAGGTTGAGTCTTTATCACAGCACCCTTGATATCTTCACCCAGGTCAAAGTCCGAGTTGTCTACGTAAGGATAAGTGTATTCATGTTTTGAGGCCTCGCTTTTGGCAAAACGTACGTAGGAGTCCATGTCATCAGGATCAAAGTTCTTTCCTCGTGCTGGGGCATGGCGATAGTCCTCGTATCCAGTCATCCAAATCTTTTCCCGAGGATTGATGCGCACGATCTCCTCATCATCGTCTGGAAAGTTGACGTGTCGGTAGGATCGCGGTACTGACTGTGGAAGTAGGGATGGAGATGAAGAGGGAGAAAAGGTAAATAAGCTCACTTTGCTATCATCAGCAATCACTGTGTCCTTGCTTAGTGAAAAGCCAATATTTAACAATTTTGTCTTCCCTTCTTTGTATGCCCTTCACTGTGACCCATCACAGAGTTTCAGCCTTTGGCTCAGGAACGAGCACAACTGTCATAGACCTACAACAGTCTGTGTGCACGTGGTACAACGTAACGTACTAAATCACACTGTAAACCCCCTTTTATTTTTTTTTTCTTTTAAATAATTGGAAGCCATTTAAAGCTAACAGAACAAAATAGGGAGAAAGGAAGGGAGGGTCTTTCAGGGATGTGGGGGGAAAACCAAACACCAGTCTCAGCTATGGCAGACAGAGCCCTTTAGGTGGCAACACTGGGAAGAAACCTTACTTGTTCTAGATGGTAGTGGTCAGAGCTATAATGGTCGTGAAGGTGTCCACGAGTGCAAATTCTTCGATGTTCGCAGGATGCAGGAGAAGCCAGCGTTCGCACAGGCTGTTCCCTTTTTTGAGAGGAGTTGGAGGAGCTATCTGTAGCATTCTGTTTTAAATGGAAAGGGGGGAAAAAAATCGTCATACATTCAGCTGTTGCTGCATGCGGTATTAAAAGAGATGTTTTGCCACTCACTGACTTCGTACACACCGGCAATATTGACAGCGGGCAGCTTCATAAAGTTTCACATAAAATACTTGAAAGAGGCAGATCTGTTGCCAGGCAATAAAAGCTGTCGCCACATGCATGGAAAAATAACGTGCCATAGCCTACCCGTGACATATTCACCAACACCACTCGTATTCGCTTGGCATGTTATTTGTTGTACTGAGCATTGTGGGATGGTGAGCGTTTACGCTAGAAGCTACCTCTGAAGAGCAAAGTTACTCCATCAAATGATGCGATTGTGCAAGTCCTGCAGGCACACTCAAGACAGAGCATCTGTGTATCCAGGCTGTACCCAACGAGTTTCCCACGCTACAAAAATACTGGCAATTTTGTTAACCTGCAGGCATCCCATTAAGCCAAAAACTCCTTTACACGTTCTTCTCCAAACACTCACTGAATTCCAGTCCATCACAGGCTACTTGAATAGTCAGCTTTCCTTTAAAAACTTCAGGTTTTGGTTTTTTTTTTTTTTCCCCCCTCGTTTTGTCACTAATCTCTAATGTGTCATGACTGTTACTTGTGTTTTCATACATTCCTGGCTCACAGTGAGCACTTTCTTTAGGTTAATTAGTTACATCATTACACAACAGCGATCACGAAAGGGTGAAGTATCACGCAATAACATGCTGTTGCCAATACCCACAGTTTCTTAATATACGTATTCCTGCTCCTGGAGAAATAAACAGTGAGGTACCAGTCTTAGCCATCCTTTCTCCATAGCCCTTCCTTGGTTAAAATTGTTTCCATACAATATCTAGTCATTCAGGATTTTGCCTCTTAATTCTTTTCATAGATTGGTCAGGCTTTTTCATATTACCATGCATATCAGAGGACAGCCGTTAAATGCATTAACAGATCAGGAGCAGTAAAAAGAGCCTCCACAATCAGAAGAGCTGTAACATTGCACGTGCCTAAAATTTTGGTGCTTTGACCTAAGAAAAAACTCCATCCCTGTCCATCTAACAGGTTGTGCTGCAGCTGTGATGAGTCTGAGGTAAAGGTTTCCATTTGCCACAACAGTTAACTAGAGACATAACCTCAAGAGCAGAGGAAAGTTGTATCAGTAGTGGGAGAAGACTGGTTTTACCTGAAAAACCTTCTCTCCTTGTCAAGAATGTACTCCCCAAATACTATTTTCCAATTAATCGTACTAGACATGTCTCTTACTCCAAGAATACAAGAGCACACATTGTGGATATTTGTTTATTCTGAAAACAACGCTCTACAAGACTCTGTCCAAAGGTGAGCACACCTTGAAGCATTACAACACAAAATAGACACTGATCTTCTTTAACTGGTTTAGCACTTAAAAGCACCGAACTCCCAACTTACTTTGTTGAAAGCAAATATACAGATCTGTTTGCAGTGTGATGTAACGCCAGGCTGGGTGATCTGAGAGGTACAACAAGCAGGATGAGTTTTGAATGGCTGACCCACCCATTAGGAACAGATTTTCAATACATGTGTTTGTTTTGGTTGGACTTTTTTAAACAAGTACCTAGAAGCAGATCAACTCTTAAGATAGTTAACACCACCTCTAAAATGTAACTGCACTGATATTCCGACTCTTTTCATCAGCCCAGTCTTCATAACTTATTAGACAAAGGAACTTCAAATCTGCGGTTTAAACCCTTCAAAGCTGATTCTTGTGCCTGTAACTTTAGGTCCTACAGTACCTACCACATTTTAGGGACATTTCAAAAGAAAACGAGCACAGCTTCTACATGCAAGTACTTCATAATGACATTAAGCTTACAACCTATTTGGAAAAACCTGAGAAGAGTGGGGATTTAGGTACAACACCCACCTCATACGAGTACCTTTTTGCAGTGCTGTACGCAGTGCAGACCCAGATGCCGAACTGTAATTTAAGCTGCTCAGAACAACAACAGAGAGGCACACGCCCCATAGTCCGGGGGCAGCCTCAGTCTGCAGCATGCTCGCAAAGTTAAACTTTGACTGGCATGAACCGAGAAGGAGGCAAGGCCTTAACACGGTGCCGTGCCAGCCAGCAGGACCCTTCACCTTCACCGGAACGGCGGCCGAGCCCTGCTGGGACAAGCCTTTCGTGGATACCCTCCGACAACATCATGGGTGATCACGGTCAAAATAACAAAGCCTGGGAAAATTACCCAACTGGAGGAGGTTGCACATACTGGCCTGAATCCCCCTCACCCTCCTAGATGAAAATAAAAATCCCAAACTGGATATAACTGCTAGATAATCTCAGCGGGGCAGCTGGGAGCTATAACCAGCCCCCCAAGCAGCAGCATGCTATTTGCTGCCTCTCGGGGAAGGCAGTATTTCTGCAACAGGCAATTGGAAAAGAGGCTGCAAGTGATTTTTATCTTGCCTGATTCTTATCTACCCTTGCTTTCCTCCACACCTTATTCTCCTTCAGACCCGGCAGAGCAACCGAGCCTCTCCTCCACATGTGTTGACACGGCTACAAAACCTGTTTGCAGCATACCACAGAGGCTGCAGCTCTGGCCTCCACTTTCACCTTATTAAAAACTGCTGCATTTCCACGTTCAACGTCCTCAGATTAGAGGGGCAGTTTGCCAACACAAACACTTACTCTAAGCGCACAGAAAGGCAAGCTATCCGAGACTAGGTCTCTGCTCACTCGTCCGTAAAAAAGTTCACGCTGCCTCCTGGTTGGTGACACTAAAGGCAACTGGTTGACAAACACAGTGTCTACAGGGTTACCTTGCTAACCGTCGGCTGGGATAAGCACTTGTTGCTTTCCAACAAGGTCCCTCACCAAGGCTTCAAACTTCTGTAGGAGAAGAGGTGGCTCTCAACATAGGAATGAGTGGTTTGAAGACTGGGAAAATGGGGTAGAAAATACCCCCTTCCCAAGAAAAAAGTCACCAATGAACCCTACATGTCTATATGTGTGCTGGTGAGCATACTCATGAATGATCTGAAGAGGACGTGAACAGCAAGATGACACGGATTTCTGATAAGCAAGGAAGTAAAAATGAAAGCTGCTCCTGACAACTTGCTTAAGAATCTAATAATGCCTAGAGACTGGATGTTAAAAGACATTTAATTACCACCAAAGAGCAAAATGACAGAAACACCATGACCTGACATGTACAACGATGCACTCTGAGACAGCTATCACTGCTCGGGAAAGAGGTCTTAGAGTTAAAACAGGCAGCCCTGTAACACTGCCAGCTTGGTGGCTCAGCAACAGGTGGAAAAAAAAAGCAGCAAGCAGCAAAGATCATCATCAAGGCATTGCAGGTGTCTGCTGTGCTTCCCCAAGCTCTCTGCAGTTCTGACCTCCCCTCCATGCTGTGTCAATAAGAGTATTCCCACTATGGCAAGCTCCCAGAGCCATGGTCAGGACAATTGAGGACATGGGACGGCTTCTCAACAGCAGCTAACTAAATAGCCTAGCTCTCTCTAGCCTCAAAAGTGATGATGGAAGGGACCATGAAGATGGGAAGAGAAGAAGTCTACTGAATCATGAGTCCCATGGGAACATGAGTAGGAAGAGATTATTCCTGTGGTATCCTTCAGAAGAGAAAATCGTGAGGCATTCACTGGAACAGGCTCAGATAAGGTCCAAACAGAAGGAGGTACTTCTGACAGAGCCCATAGTTAAAAAGTGGTTCAAGAAGCCATACAGAAACCATCAGAAGAAAATAAATGACTGAGGATCAAACGCATGATGGTGCTCAGGCCTTCAAAAAGCACATTGTTCTCTCAGTACCACTCCACTGGGACCGAACCTGGTCTTGGTGACTAGTGAAAATCAGGCACATTCTCAAAGTAGAGGCACTCCCATCTTCAGCCAAGTGCCAGTACGAACAAACGATGGCAAGACTTTGTCAGTGATGGAAGCAGGGAACAAGTTTGGTCCACTGTGACAAGACTGGGTCTTGGCTGTGATTTTCTACCACCAGCATAGCAGTGAAAATTTTGGGGAGGATGGTGGAGTGGGGAGACACAAGAGGTTTGTTGCAAGTCACACAAATACAACACACTCACCTACAGGAATACATCTAGAAAGGACATGGTCTCCAGAGCCAGGCTATTTCACCGATGGAAAAAATGTCCCAAACCATCGAGCCACCAGACTGCCAGAGAAACAGTCTTCCTCTAAAGCCCGTTGAAACCAATCCAGCTCCAGTATTTGTTTTTGAGGGGAAACTATTGAAAACATGCCCAGTAGCCGCGTAAGAGAAATGAACCCAAAAGTAAAGTTGTTGGAACAGGGAGTCCAGTAAGAAACTCCGTTTCAACACGCCCTCAATGCTCAATTAGAGAAATCTGTGCTGCACGTACTAGAGCTTTGCGATTGCTATGGCGGTCACGAAGTCTTGTGGTTTCACTGCTTGGATAACAAAATCATTAATCATGACCATAATAGTAATTTTATAAAACCCACGCTACACATTTCCTTTTGCAAGTGAGCTGTACATATCTGAGTGAGCACACATACTGCATGTTTGATATGGCTGCTTTGAGAAACAACACTGGGCTTCTACATGCAAATGATTGTACTGTGATCATTTTAAAAAAAAGTGTCCCTGTTTCCCCCCTCAGACTTTCAGAAGTGACTCATTAAATTAAAAAACCCTAGTCATTAGTAAAGAAGATTATGTTAATCATTTACTGCAGTTTACTTCTCATTGAAATGGATTTGTTACACAAGAACGGCCGGCTAATCAGGTGCCTAAGTAATATTCTGAGATAAGCATCTATCACAAAAACCAGTGAGAAAAAGAAGCCTTCTCCTGCTCCTAAGCTGGACTTACCACCTTGCCTCTAATGGCTTTATAGAATAGGTTCACCCCATGTGATACACCATCTAAGGATGACTACAAAAAAGAAGAAAGATTCATCTCAAAATTATGAAGCAATAC